GTACCCTGAAATATTACTCTATAAAGTCAAAGTGTATATTAAGTGGCTTAGAACTAAAACTTCTAAGCCTTTTCCTGCTTGGAAAGTGAGGTTTCAACAAAAACTAGATCAGTACAAAATTGTGTTTATTAATTAAATAAAATTAAATCGTGATTTCAACAAAAATATATTTGGTAGAAAGATCATTAATCTTAAACATAATCGACAAATATTGGAACCTATACATTTATTTTCCATGTAATTGATTAATATCACTGATGCCTTTGCGTGCTTTTTACAAAAATAAATTTTATACCTTAAATTTAATTTGGTCGAATTTTACTTAAGATAGTTGGTATCACAGTCATTGTTTTGACAGTTAATGTCAAAATCGATTCGCCATGCTTATTTGAAAAAAGGATTTTCTTTGGTGTTAAACAAAATTTATTGCCAGAAAAGTCTCGTAAGTACTAGAAAAATCATAAAAATATTATAACCAATATGCAAAATATTGTGCTGTTTAAAGTATAGCTAACCTATAAAATGAAAATTGTAGGTGGGATAAAGTATCTCATTACATCACCGAAAGCGGTGTTATAATGAAGTCATTATTGCTTTCCAAAGAGATCATTTTCTATAAAAAGTATTCACAATTTAATTTTAAAAGCTTGCTTACTACTTTCATTGATGTAATAGATAAAATATTTCAATTCGATGTTTTTAGAGTGTCTAATTCTTTTGGGTCTAGGTAAAGCAATTAGGTGCACTCGTTCTATACACTAAATAAATAAAAGCCAGGTTTTAAGTAAACTCGGAATCTAATTTCTTGTTTATTTTCACTGAATTCTTTAGAACCTTTATGGATTTCTCAAGAAAAATCCCACAAATAATGATTGTCATTCATTATTGCGTGTATCCAACTTTTGTCACCTGTAGGATTATAAAAAATAAATAAATGAATGCCAAAAAACATATAAAAAAATTAATTTGCTGAAGGAGAAATGCATAAAAATTAAAACTAAGAAAGAAAAAGATCAAAAATAAAGTTTTCCAAATAAAAATTTATTTGATGATCTTTTCACTGAGTTTAAACGGATTATGAAAATTAATTAAAATGCCTTCTACCTTTGAGCGGTTTTAAAAGAGAAAGAAAAAACGAAATAAAATTATTTTAGGCGCCAAAATTCTTTCTTTGTTAAAATATGCTCGAGGTTAGTCATTTTATTGTTAAAAACTACGCAACACTGTGATTTTTAAGCCCAGTTCGGGTTCTTTTATTTCCTTTTCGTTTTATATGCTTTGTTTAACCCAGTTTTGCTTGATTTATAAATGCTTAAATTTTAGGTAATATATAAAAAATATCTTGAAATAAAAATAATTTTTTTGTAAACCTTTTTTAGTCAATATTCTAGTTTTCAACGATGCCAATATTTAGACTACGAAGGTCCTTGATTTTAATTGTTAAATGCATGTTGTAATAATTAAAATCAAAAGGCCTATGTGGTGAGGGGAATTTAAGCTTAAATACTAACAACGCTGGTAGTTTCAGTGAAGATCAGAAGCTTTTGAATAAAGCAATTCATACTATTGGAGCAAGAGATATTTGCTCTAAAATCAAAATAAAATGTGGTTGGGTCAATAGTACCTATATGCTTTTGTAGCAAGAAAAATTTGGCCCTATTGAAAAGCGCAAACCTTTTAAGAGATTTTTTTTTCTATCTTATTGATTATTTCCTCTACTGTTCATATATTTTAACGCGTAGGTTTATCATAAATACAAAATATTATTGAGGAAAAATATAATCTGATTGATCATGTCCATTTTTACGATTCAGACTATCCATACTGAGGTCTATATTTACGCAACGATATTCTTTTCTACACTGTCAACATAACATTTCAACGTAAAATGTGTTTTTTGTATTATTTCCATATAAAGAAAACTTGCAAAGTTCAATAAACTTATTATTTTCAACGTTGGTTATAAAATAATTTGTATGTATCAAAAAGACTTCTTGGTACCTATATTGCCTTGTTTTTACATATATTTTTCATTATCTTTGATGTTCAAATAAATATAATAATAATGAAAAACAATTTTGCAGTTTTCTTTATCTTATGATATAGCTACTTAAATTTTATATTCAAATTTGCTCTATATTGGAAAATGTGGACTTTTCCTGAAAAGATAATTTGGTATATATATTAAAGATTGAGCAATCTTCCGTTATTTTCAAAAATGGTGGATGCACCGCTATTAATTTTCTACCATTTTTAATAGAATTATATTATACAAAATTAATTTGTTATTTATGATTTTCCACAACAATGATTTTATAATTAAACCAACATTTTCAACAAACTTTTAATTAAAACTTTTGATTTTCCAAAACACAATTTTCAGTTTAATCATAGTTCATAGGCAATACATACATTTATGAAAACTTAGCACTTTAATTAGTGCATTTTCTGGTTTTAGAATCTTCGCTTTTATTAAACTTCAAAACTTGTGAAAATCGTGGAAAACCTATATTTGTGCAATAACACTTTCTATATTTTAATTGCAATATTCGTTCGACTGTAATGTTACGCTGAATATTAGAAAAGTTTTTGAGTAATAAATGCACCATTATAATATTCCACTTTAGCACATAATTATAAAGGATTTTTTGTGACTCAAAAAATATATATCTTTAAAATTATAAACTGTTCCTAAAACCAAACATATATTTTAAAATTAATTAATTTAAATATACCTACAATAAGAAATATCAAGAAATATAAATAATGCATATGGGTAATTCTACAAAAGTTGGACAACTTTTAACCTCATTTTGTTTATATAGTTTTCGGAGAAAATTCAACAGTATTTTGTTATGAAAACATAGATAATATAATAAATATATGTTCCAGACCGGGCCAGTCACTTTTTCAAACAGTTTCTGAAATATCTGTGTTTTCTAAATTTGAATGCAAGGGAAGTGACGAGTATACCAGGGTACTAATTAAATACATAATTTATTGGAAAATATAATATTTATTGCAACTTTGAGCATATTATACATTAAATGTCTTAAAATCAAATAATACCACACATCAGTGGCGGCTGGTGGATTTTCGGTATACCAATATCTCAATTATTAGATAGGTATGGGACCCCACACCAAATTTATATGAGTTTATAATGACATTAAATAAACAAGTTCTGCGCAAGCAGAATTTAAATTGAAGTTTTCGAAAAAAATTTGAGATTATAATTTGGAATTAAGTAATTTACTGATATTTTTTATTAGTGGATGCTACTTATCAACAAATCACATATAACCTTATATATATATATACCTATACGTAAGAAAATAACTACTTACCACAGTACTGAAATTTTGACTGGAACTATACGTGCATTCACCACAGCTTCACCGCTTGCATTGCTTTCAAGATGACTTTCGTGCAAAGGGCGGGCTCTGTAGGTAATTTTTTTACCAACACTTGAGTTAAAACGAGGACTTGACGTTTAAACTTCAATATTTCGCAGGAATTTTGAATTTTTGGACACAGAACTTACCGGTAAAAGTGAGTACAAAGATTATCATTTTTTTTTAAATTGCTATTATTCGAATCTATGATAAAATATGAAAAATACATTATTTAATGTTTTTAGTTTGTAGTGAATGTGAAAAATTAAGGATAAATTTAATATATTTCAAAATAAACCCACTCAAATATTTTATCCAGGAGTTGTGACACTGATGTTTTGAATATTTATTATGTTTTTCTACAAACGTGCTTTTGAAAAAATACATTAAAATTGGGTGGAGAAGTTTAAAAAAAGGATCTTTTGTAATATACTAAAATACTTATTTACAAAAAATACTAAAATACCTACTCTATTGACTGATGACATCAAGTTGTCCAACTTTAGTAGAATCACCCATATCAAATTTCCCTAAAGAGCTTAAATAAATATATTATCTGGCAACATTGCTCTAAATCTGAAAGTTCTTGTCAAAAAATGTGTCAAAAATGCTAGGTATTAAACAGAAATGCCAACCATATAAAAAAAATAAAAAGAAATTGGTTTCTGTCAAAAATTTATAGTTGTTAAAATTTGACATAATCTGTGATCAAAATGACTATATTTAAGAGTTTTAACCAAAGAAAAACTCTTCCATATACTATATTGGAGTCCCTAAGATTAAACAACCATTTTATTGTAAATGAAAATACGCTAGAAAACGATAAAAAAATCAAAATAATTGGTAAAAGAAAAATGCGAAGAATCGAGAATTTAAACCATCTCAAAAGTTACCTCGACGATAGCAACGATTGCATTATTAATTACAGGGAAACTATTTTCCAAAAACTAATGAAAAACGAAAAATTCTACAATTTTTGGTACGATTTCATTGAAAAATCTGAATATGAACAGTATAACTTAATAAATTTGTAAGAAATAAACCGTGTGTGTTATCCACTTACCTACAACTTGTTTAAATTAAACACCCCACTAATCATCGTTCACTAAAATCTGCACTTAACTAAGTTATTTACAAACTAAGTTTTATGGTATTAATTAAACTTAAATTTATCGAATCTTGCAAACTAACTCAAAGCCGCAGGACTGGCAACTTATGGAAGTTAAATAAAATAAAAAGCCAACTTGATTGTTTCATATTTTATTACTATTTCCAGCATAAACAAGCATTTTCAGCGTGTTTAAGCTGGTTTACGTTTATTGAATTTAACATTGAACTGCACTTTTATTGACTATTGCCTATTTACTATTCGATTTAAATCAATTTAGCGTGAAAATTTTATCCGATTCGCTGTCAAATTACATAAATGCCAATGTAACAAACTGAAATTATTGGTGTTTTAGTTTCCATTCGATTTGCTTTTTTAAATTAAACGATGTATGGCAAAATCTACATAATTTGCATCTATTGATTGACAGGTAATTTATCAAATAATTGCTTTATTCTGAAATTTACAATAATTTAATGACATGGCCTATTTTTCACGAAAAAGAGTTCTTTAGGTTATTACTAAAAACTTAACAATAATATAAATAAAACCTTTGTAAATAAATTAATGTCTCGCGCCACTTTTCAAACCCTATTATAACTGATAGTGTGGCAGCACTGCAAAGTAATGCCAACATAACGCACCAAGCGCCTCTTTCATTTTGTCTGTTTTATTCGCCGAGGTATGTCGAGTTTATTTCTTAAATATTTCAAACATCCTTACTATTTTAAAACTTTTTAACGTTTATTAGTGTTAATTATGATATTCTCCACAATCCGCAATATGTATTTTTCGTGGATTTGTAACGCATTTGATGTTTTTTGTGAAATTAAGGTTAGGTTGTGTGTTGACTGATTTTTGTGTTTTTTTTTCAGTTCTTAAATTCCCAACGAGTCCCTAACCACTTCAAAGATGGGTAGGGAGGACAAGGCAACCTGGAAGTCTAACTACTTCGTCAAGCTTATCGTAAGTACCACTTAAAATGACAAAAATGCATGCACGAATTTGTAGGTTAGGTTTTGAGACAGCTGTCGAAAGAGCAGGGCTCCCACACCTCCTTAAACTCAAAAAATTCCTAAAATTTGGCTTAAATCTTGAAAACTCATAAAATTCACCTAAAAATTAAATATAAATAGGCAGGGTTCGCCTGATTTAAATCAAGTGATTTTTTTATATTAATAAATGATTTAAATCAGGTTTAATAAAAGTTTCTAAAATCTAAAAAACACTTAAAAGAGCTAAAACTAAAGCACAATAATATAACTGCTTATTTTGTTAAATAAAATAATAAAGGAATATACCAAAAAATATTTGACAGTTTTCAGACGGTGGTTTATAAAGTAGTGGCAATATAATATTATAGTAAGTTATTTTTAGTATTTTTTTCATTGTACATTATATTAAAAAAGCTTACAATTAAAAAAAAATCATTGTTGATTTTATTGATAAAAATCATTGATTTTTGTTTTTTTTAATCATGATTTTTTTGTACTCGCAACCTGAATTTTTCTTTAAAAACAAACTTCTACAAAATTGTCAGTTTTAGCCATATTTCAACAAAAATATACCATGTTATATATTGAACAAGAGGATTTTTAATTTTCTTTTAAATGATAGCTATAGCTATAAAATAGTAAACAATCTCAAGAATGTTTTGTTGTATTTTGCAAACTTCATATTTTTTCTATTTTTGAATATAAAGATCCACATTACAATTGAATCTTTGAGATTAAGAACAATACAAGTCCAAAAGTGAAAATTTTGATAAAATATTTCAAAAAATCAGTTTTATGATTAATGATGATCTCACAATAGCAAAAATTCTATAAAAAAAATAGTTTTAAACCTTAAATTTAATTTGGTCGCATTTTACTTTAGGTAGTTGGTATCACAGTCATTGGTTTGACATCGATTCGCCATGCCGTTCTTAATTTACTTATTTACAATAAGCGGCTGTTAATGTTAAAGAAGAAAAAAAGGATTTTCTTTGTTGTTAAACAAAATTTATTGCTAGAAAAATCATATAAATATTATAACCAATATGCAATATATTATGCTGTTTATAAAGTATAGCCAATCTATAAAATCAAAATTTTGGGTGGGATAAAGTATCTCATTACAGCACTGAAAGCGGTATTATAATGAAGTCATTATGAACGCAAAATAGATAAAAATGTATTTTGAACTTTAAAATTTATTTTATTCTCACCGATTCAATTATTGTTAGTTATTAATTATTTTCTTAAAATATAAATATAACATTATTTGACTGGACTATAGTCGATAAAAAACTATAGTTTTTTATCGACTTGGTGAAATTTCTACTTGATAAATGCAAGTAGTAATTTTACCTAACTTTTAATTTTATTATAAAAAACGGACAATTTGGTTAAAAAACTAGTCAATGTAACTTATTTGTACAAAAGAAGTGATATTTACTTAAATTTTTGTTAAAAATAATTATTTTTTTCATCTTATTTTTAAAGTACAGTGTAGAGTTGTTTTTATTTAATTACAGAAATTTATTTGCATTCTTCATCTCCTAAATTTAAAAAAACCTAAATTCCTAAATAAAATTTGTAATTTAGCCGTGGGAGCCCTGAAAGAGTTTTTGGTTTAAACATGTTGGAAACGGTCTTAAGTTTTGGTCCAAGTAACTTTAGAAACAATCAATTTTGTTGAATTGATTGTTTATCATGATGACATATTTTTCGTCTCTCAATGGGCCCCATACCACGCTAGAGCTAGAAATAGCTGAACCCACTGGTGTGAGGGGTTCATATGTGGACAAAACTTGCTGATATTGACAAGAAAGAAACTTGCTTTGTAAAATGTGGATGTAGGTTGTAAACTAGGGTATTTTTGTAGCAACTTTTGGAAGACTACCCAAAGTGCTTCATCGTGGGCGCTGACAATGTCGGTTCAAAGCAAATGCAACAGATTCGTATCTCCCTTCGTGGAACGGCCGTCGTACTCATGGGAAAGAACACCATGATGCGCAAGGCGATTAAAGGTCATCTGGAACGCAATGCTGCTTTGGAGAAGTTACTGCCCCATATTAAGGGTAACGTGGGGTTCGTTTTCACGCGCGGAGATCTCGTGGAGGTGCGCGATAAGCTCTTGGAGAACAAAGTGAGGGCCCCCAGCGCGTGCCGGAGCAATTGCCCCCGCTTCCCGTGGTCATTCCAGCCCAAAACACTGGTCTGGGTCCGGAGAAAACCTCCTTCTTCCAAGCCTTGAGCATCCCGACCAAGATTTCCAAGGGTACCATCGAAATTATTAACGATGTGCACATCTTGAAGCCCGGAGACAAGGTGGGTGCCTCTGAAGCCACTCTTCTGAACATGCTGAACATCTCGCCGTTCTCGTACGGTCTCATGGTCGAGCAGGTTTACGACTCTGGCACCATTTTCGCCCCCCAAATTCTCGACATCAAGCCGGAGGACTTAAGGGCCACTTTCATGGCCGGCGTTGCCAACTTGGCTTCCGTTTGTTTGAGCATCGGTTACCCCACGACCGCCTCGGCGCCGCACAGCATCGCCAACGGGTTCAAGAACCTCTTGGCTTTGGCTGCTGTTACGGACGTCGAGTTCAAGCAGGCTACCACCATCAAGGAGTTCATCAAGGTAATTAAATTAAATTTTTTCGTGCAATTTTTCAATGTTTTGGAACATTTTATGATGTTTTGATGAACATTAAAACAAATGTCTACATTTTATGATTTAAAAATGCTTTAAAACATTTTATAATTTCTATGTAAAGTTTAGAATGTTTTAAAACCTGTAAAGATTACCTTTGAACATTTTTTGATGACGTAAAATTTATAATTTTTATGTATATTTTAAAATGTATTTTATAATTCGAAAATTTACATTTTATATTTTTGGTACATTTTTTGAATGTTTTGGAACATTTAATGAAGTCATTAAATATCTACTTTTTATGGTTCAATAATAAAACATTTTCTAAAGTTTAGAATGTTTTAAAACATGTTATGTCTCAAAAATGCTTTACAACATTTTATCAAATTTTAATAAAAACAATATTTTGCTACATTTTATGATTCAAAAATGCTTTATGTTGTTGTTTTGAAACATTTTATAATATTTTGTCAAATATTAAAATGTTTTGAAACATTTTATGATTTTTACGTTAATTTTTTTTTGCTGCAGCATGTATCAAAATATAAAAATTTATTTAAAAATTTACATTTTTTATTTCTTGGTACATTTTTTTGAATGTTTTGGAACATTTAATAATATTTTGATGAACATTAAAAAAATATCTACTTTTTATGATTCAAAAATGCTTCAAAACATTTTCCAAAGTTTAGAATGTTTTGAAACATGTTATGACTCAAAAATGCTTTACAACATTTCATCTAATTTTAGTAAAAACAATATTTTGCTACATTTTATGATGTTTTGTCAAATATTATGATTTTTTACGTTAATTTTTATATTTTGCTGTATCAAAATAAAAAAAAGTATTTTTTAATTCGACTATTTCCCTCGTCTTAATTTCCACCAATCACAAACGCGCAATTTTGAATTACAAATGGTTTCTAGGTGAAAAAAACTGTGTGACAACCTGTCAGCAGTTTTTTCGAGTTTACCCGCGGCGAAACTTGACAGCTGTTGTCACCAAAAATTGCAATTTATATTTTAATTGTTAACTGTTACTCATGAAATAGTCTTGTCAAATACCATTCGGGCATCTAATTTTTCCTGTGAAAAAAATCGAAAAAACACAATGCTAAGTAATATTTTTTAACAAAAAGCATTCGTGCAGGTGCAAAAATCCTCCTCTTCGACTCGGATTTTTGTTGCCACCAGCACTCATGCTTTTTGTTAAAATATCACTTAGCAACGTGTTTTTTCGATTCTTTTCGGAAAAATTAAATGCCCTTATGATATTACTTACGAAAATTTACATTTTAAGATTTGTGGTACATTTTTTTTTAATGTTTTGAAACATTAATGACATTTTAATGAATTTTTAAAAAAATTCTACTTTTTATGATTCCAAAATGCTTTATAACATTTTCTAATTTTTTAGAATATTTTGATACATTTTATGATAAAGTAAATTTTATGATTTTTATGTACATTTAGAAATGTTTTAAAACATTTTATGACATATTGGTAAATATTAAAATATTGCTACTTTTATGAATAAAAAATGCATTTAAAAATATTGTTGAACATTTTATGTTTCCGTACATTTTTTAATCTTTTGGAACATTTTTTTACATTTTATGATGTAAATATTCAGTTTAAACCTGAACTTGCTAAATAACTATTTTTTCATGATGTATCTAAGAAGATCTTAAAAAGTTGACCAACACTTTAGAGCTAGAAATAGCTGAACCCACTGGAGTGCAATTTTTAATGATTACTAATCTAACTGACCCCCTAAAATTACCACAAAAAAACATCAAAAATCACTCCCTTATGATTTTTAATTAAAAAAAAAACGTTTTTTGTAGGACCCCAGCAAGTTTGCAGCTGCCGCTGCCCCAGCTGCAGCAGCTGCTCCATCCGCAGCCGCTCCCGCCGCCAAAAAGGAAGAAAAGAAGGAAGAATCAGAAGAAGAGGATGACGATATGGGTTTCGGTCTCTTTGACTAAACTCGAAGTTTTTTTTACTCTTTTGACTCTAAGAATAAAAAATGTTTGCGTTTGCTAGCAGCCAGGCTGTCATTAAACGATGAAACTTAGTTAATAAAGTTTTATTTAAGTTTCCTTCCTTTCTTTTATTGAGTTTTAGAATATAAGGAACAAATTTTGCTCAAGAAGTACTTCTACTTTAATTCGTCCAGAAATAATTGTAAATTACTACAAAAGAAAAATTTACTGTACTAAAAAAAACGGGAATCACATATCTGGAACATTCTTAAATGTTTTAAAAAATTACATTACATTTTAGAATGTACAAAAAACAACATAAAATGTTCTCAAGATTCTTAAAAATTATTGACACATCATAAAATGTTTCGAAACATTTTTTTGAAAGCAAAATACGTGAAATTTATTAAACAATCCAAATGTCAAAGATTTTAATTTGTTTTATAATTTTTTCTGATATATTTTATGTTACAAAAAAACTTTCCAAACATTAAAAAATATCCCAAAAGAATTTAAAATTTATTAGTACCATGAACAGTTTCAAAACATTCTAGAATTTACAAAAAGATTGAAAAATCAAAATAATTCTAGAAAATTTTAAATGAACATGAAATGTTTTAAAATTTACTAAAATAGCATATGCTTTTACAAAATTGTATATTTAAAAAAATTTAATTAAAAAATCATAAAATGTTGCAAAAAAAATAATAAAAACATACTAAAATATAATAAACAAAATAGCCTATAAAATTTTACAAACAAATTTAATATGACATTGTAATACATTCTAAAATGTACCAAAACATTAAATGTTTTGAAATGTATAAGAACATTATAAAATGTTTTAAAAAGTAATAAAATGTTCCAAAACTGCAAAAATCATGAAATTTATTAAACAATCAAAATGTCAAATATTTGTTTTATAATTAGTGTTTTGTTCCTATACATTTTAGAATCTTTAATGTTCCAAAAAAACTCCAAAAGAATTTAAAATTTATTAGAACCATGAACAATTTCAAAACATTCTAGAATTTACCAAAACATTAAAAAATCATAAAATAATTTTAGAATATATTTTCTAAAATGTACTAAAATAGCATACGCTTTTAAAAAATTTAATTAAAAAATAATAAAATGTTACAAAAAATAAATAAAACATACCAAAATAAACTATAAAATGTTATAAACAAAAAAATCATAGAAGAATTTATTGACACATCATAAAATGTTTCAAAACTTATGAAAGCAAAAAATTGTGGAATTTAAAAAAAATCAAAATGTCAGACATTTAATGTACGTCATCATCATAAAATGTTCCAAACTATCATTAAAAAATCATAAAGTATTAAAATTATTCTAAAATACATTTTTACAAAATTTGATTAAAATGTTACAAATAAATTTAAAATGGATTACATTCTAAAATGTATCATGTAAACATCATAAAATGTTCTAAAACATTTACCATAAGTTTTTCTAAAAAATCATGTTTGAAAACATTCTAAAATATATCCAAAAGAAGATGCGGTAGAAAATTGAAACTCAATAGTTATAATAAACGGTTTTTTATTATATGTCCAATTGAACAATAATCTCAACAATAAAAAATAACAAAATACAAAACAATTTTATATTTATAAGTATGATAGATTATTTAAAAAAGTTTGATGCGCATTTAGAGTACATTTATAACATCAATAAATATTATTATAAGATTGTATGATTTATATATAAGTAGATACATAGCAAATCCTTGTAAACATTAAATAAGAAACATCCCTGTTATATAAAATTACCATTATTATATTTTAACGTCGAAAATCTTAGCCACACCGTCATCAGAGGTGGTCAAAATTTTTCTGCCATCTTTAAAAACCGATATACTCAAAATGCCGCTCCTGTGACCCGTGAGTGTTTCCACCAGGGTCCCCAGTTTTACATTGCACACGTATATGGCTCCATCGGAACCCCCGATGAAAATTTGCCCGTTTTTACCCCACTTTAAGATCGTAACCGGGCACTCTATTTGGGCCTCGTGACGTAAAGCATGCTTTCCAGACTCCCAGACGCATAGTCTTCCAGACAGGCCTCCAGTTACCAGTAAGTTCATTTCGCTCTCGAAAAGAGCGACCTCGATTTCCGTTTCCCCTGAGGATAATAAAGTGGATACAGTCCGCCCATCGGTTAATTTCACTAGGGAAGAACTAGGCGATAGCATTGCTAAACTAGCATCAGCGTTTACAGCTAGTTGTAGCGCTGGGGTTTCCTGTTTGTTCTGCCACACGGCAGTGCTTGTTTTTATGTCCCACAACTTCAAAATACCGTCCTCGTACGAGGCCAGTAACTGCTTACCGTTGGGGAGGATTTTACCACACGTCGTAGGCATACTAGAAGCAGTTGGAAGCACTTTGGTGTTCCCTGAGGGGATTTGCCATATGTAAATATCACCGGTTTGGAAACCCACCACCAAAACATTCGCCATTGGGTGCCAGGTAAGCCACAACATGTCGTCTCCTTCGAAACACCAAATAAGTTTCTTATCCGCCACATCCCATACTTGTATCATCCCACACATATCCGCAGTCGCCACATATTGATCGTTATGGTTGAACGCCACCTCCGTCACCGAATCTTTGTGCCCCGTACACTCCAAAACCACTTCCCCACTCTCTGTATCCCACACGTAAGCCACATCATCTTGACCACCTGTTACAGCCAATTTAGAGTCTCCGGATAAGTCGCTGCAGAACACCGACTTCGCGTGCTTTGTAAAGGTGAACTTCGCCAAATCTACAACCTCTGCTTCGTTTATTTCAATCCCTTCGATCATCTCTTCGATATTTTCCTCATCCAGCCCGTCCTCGTCGGAATCCGAGTAGATTATCTCGATTTCGTCGTCCGGTATGTCGAATTCACTGTCGCTCTCCATTTTTGAGGGGTTTTTGAGCCAAACTGCTTATTTGTTGTTAGAAAGTCAAAGATAACCTATAAACTTCACACGCCGCTAAATGTCAAGTTAAATGTCAGTTTTGATAAATCGTCCATGCACTAGATGGCGCCAAGCGACATATTCACTATTTATTTGTTTATACGTTTATTATTATTATTATTATTATTATTTATATTCACTTTATAATCGCTGATATTTATAGGGAAATGCGTCTACATGTTATATAAGCAGTGATAAAATATCCGGAAATTAATTCTGTATTATAAAAAGAATAAAGAAACCTGTAAATAGTTCAAAACATTAATAACAGATGTCAGTATAAAATATTTTTTCCATGATTTTTTCATAAACTTTAGATTTTGTGGTTCCTATCATTAAAAAAGCATAAAATAATTCTAGAATATATTGAATCATCATTATAAACATTTTAAAATTTACCTAAATAGGTAGCAAACGCTTTTATACAAAATTGGATATTTTAAAAAGAATCATAGAAATAAACTATAAAAATTTTTAAAAAGAAATTTAATATTTATTACATTACAAAATGTACCTACCAAAACATCATAAAATGTTGTTAAATGTAGGTAAAAGAACATTATAAAATGTTTTAAAAAGTCGTAAAATGTTTCAAATATATTTTTGACACATTATAAAATGTTCCATTGACTTGAGTTATTTTATCTATTTTGCAAAAATTCTATAAAAAAATTAATTTTTTACCTTAAATTTAATTTGGTCGAATTTTACTTTAGATAGTTGGTATCACAGTCATTGGTTTGATAGTTCGCCATGCCGTCCTTAATTTACTTATTTGCAATAAGCGGCTGTTAATGTTAAAGAAGAAAAAAAAGATTTTCTTTGGTGTTAAACAAAATTTTTTGCCAGAAAAGTCTCGTAAGTAGAAAAATCATAAAAATAATATAACCAAAATGCAAAATATTATGATGTTTAAATTTTGGGTGGGATAAAGTATCTTATTACAGCACCGAAAGCAGTGTTATAATAAAGTCATTATGAACGCAAAATAGATCAAATATTTTTAAATATTACACGTTATAAAATGTTGCAACTTGCAAAACAGCAAAAATCATGGAATTTATTTAAAAATCAAAATGTCAAAGATTTTCATAATTTAGAATCTTTTAGAATTTTAATGTTAAAATTATTAATGTTGCAAAAATTTAGAATTTTAGAATCTTTAAGCCTGATTTATAGATTGCCTTCCTTCCTCCCGTAGAAGATGAACAATACAATCCCGTACGGGAATCTATAAACGGCACTACGGTTTTCGTATTGTTCATCTTTTACGGGAGGAAGGAAGGAAGACAATCTTTAATCAACCTTTAATATTACAAAAAGTCAAACTATTCAAAACATTATAGAATTTACCAAAATATCGTTAAAAAATCATAAATTATAGAATAAATTGTATCATCATAAAATATATTTTTTTTAAATATAATAAATTTTATGGTTTTTATTCAATAATTAAAAGAAAATGTGTTGTTTTATGTTTAATATAGGTGATTTAATGAAATGTTAATAAAATATTGTTTTGTAAATATTTTTATTGTTATCTTGGTTGCATACGTACAGAAAAACTAGCAACAAAAATAAAACTTTTAACAAGGTTTTAAAGGGTGTAAATTCAAATAAAACCTTAACATCGAATGATAATTGATCAAACAACGGTGTTAAACCGTTGCATCATAGTTAAAATCAGCAAAAATCAATTAATTGACTTGATAAGAGCGAAAATTATTGATAAAACGGTGCCACAGTCCCATTGTGTCGGCTTGACATCAAAATCCAAGCCGCTCATCCGGCGTTTATCGCATTGAAATCGTTGGGGCAATTTCACGCACACAGGATGTGCCAGTGCTTAGCGGGGACCGAAGGGAGCACGAATTCACAAGGAGCAAGTCGCAATCGAAAAAGAGGGGAGTCTACACTTCGTCTTAGCACGTGGTGATTCGAAAACAGTGTGCGGTGGTATGTTTTACGGTGTGGTTTAGCGAAATTAGCATGGGCGGTTCGAAGAAAGGTAGCATGGGCGACGTGTCGGCGAAAAGCGCCTCCTCGGGGGTGAAAATGAAGAAGGAGCTCTCCCTCATGGACGGCGTGGCTATTATAGTGGGTGTTATAATCGGGGCTGGCATTTTCGTGTCCCCTAAAGGTGTTCTACTCAACTCGGGCTCTGTGGGGGCTTCCGTTCTCATATGGATCGCTTCCGGGGTTCTATCCATGATTGGGGCTCTCTGCTACGCAGAACTCGGTAATTATCATCCCATTTATTTGGTTTTGTTTAACAGGATAAAGGTTAGTTACGGCTGTTTACCTCCTACTTGAAAAGGCGCGAAATATTACATCAGCCAAACACGTGCGCACAACACCACCTGTTGATGGTCAATATGGTCAATACAGACCCTAAAAAACCGAATTAAAATCCATGTTAAAAAATACAATCTCCTCGTTTTGCCTTGGCATGATAATAATGAAAATATAAAATAATAAAAGTAGTTCTATTTCGCAATATTTTATATAAATATACACAACTTATTTACAATAAAATATAAATAGTTGGGTAAACCTATTTCGTTTCTATAAATAAAATATGTTGATAAAGTAATATTTTAAAACGCATTTATTTGAATGTCATTTAAATAAATTTTAATTACAGGTGATCGGTAGGTACCTAGAACGGGAAATATAACCCAAATGTTGCGTCAGCATTATAATCTAAATAATTCCAACTAAACTTGGCCTCCTAACCAATAAACCACAAAAGATTTTAACCACTATATTTTATAAAAATGAAAGCGTTTTCGAGATATGAATTTTCAATTATTTTTTTAAAATTTTCTGAGGTGTTTTGACGTTTTATATTTTATAAAAATGAAAGTTTTTGGAGATATGAATTTTCAATTGTTTTTCTTTTTAATTTTCTGAGGTGTTTTGACGTTTTAAAGTATACCTACTTCGAGTTCTAATTGATCAAATTGACCAAACAAGCACTTAAATCAAACGTAATTGAGCCCTCTATAACTTTCTCTTGTATAGTTTTGGTATCGGCTCAGTAATTCGATACTGGCGATTTTATGAAGTTGAAAAAGTCCTTTTTTACAAAAATCAAGGTCGAAAATTTACATATCTTTCTGGGAAATATAGAAATCGAAAGGATAAGTCCAGTTTGATTTATTCTACGAATAGATTATACTTAAAGGAAAAAATAAGCTGCTGTTGATAAAAATCCATGGATAAATGTCGAAGTTATGAATTTTTCAGTGAAATAGTGACAATTTTTATTTTATTTTTTTTCTTTTATTTTGTAATATGTTTATTCTTTAATGAAAACCTAAGTAAAGTGTAATATTGGAATTTTAACATTAGCTTGTTTTTTTTTTGTAAAAATGTCAGCTTCACGATGTGATTTAAACCTTTCCCAGGACGATATGTAAATTTTGCACCTCAATTTTTGCCATAAAAACGATTTTTTTAAGTTATTAAATCGCTAGCGTCAAAATATTTATCCGATATCAAAAGTATATAAAAGTTTTAGAGGGCTCAAATACCTTCAATTTCAGGGCTTGTTTGATAAATCAATCAATTAGATTTCAAGCTTTACTCAAAAACGTCAAAACAGCTCCGAAAATTAAAAAAAAAACAATGAAAATTCATATTTCAAAAACGGTTCCATAAAAAAAATTGTGTGATATTCGTGTTTAGTGGGTCAAAATACATGGAAAAATTATAAAGGGATATATATGGTGGGCAGAATTTTTTTTCGATTTTGTAAACTAGTGTAATTAACACTTTAAATTTAAAATCATGTTAATACCTTACTTTGCTATTTAAAACTGCAAAATGTTGGGTTTATAACAAACAATAATTGCTTTTATTTAATGGATAACATATATTATCATAACACTAAATAAGCAATTTAATATAATGGTTTACTTATAGCTAATAAATTTGTTATTTTTGTCAAAACTAAAGTTAATATTATCAGTGGTGGAAAACTTAACTGCCCATTCCAAGTACTGACTTCAAAGGAGATTCAGCCTGTCGTTATTTACTCGCTGAATTTTCTTAATTTTTTTAAACCTAAAACTATTTTTTTTTGGGTTATTTACAAACTTGAGGCTATTAGGTAATAGGTATGTTGAAGATTTTTATTCTATTGTGGAGGCTAGTTTTTTTCACATTACTGTCAAACCAATGACTGTGATACCAACTATCTAAAGTAAAATTCGACCAAATTAAATTTAAGGTATAAAATAATTTTTTTTATGCAAAATAGATAAAATTGCATAAAGAACATGTCCATTACAAAACTCGATCCTTCGTCGCTCAACATTTATATAATGGATAATTTATACAAGGTAATAAAATTGATATGTATAATTTTTAGATAGCAATTTTGAGAGGTCAAGGTGAATGTTATAAGAAAATATTTCATCCTTTGATTTTTTATCACTATAATTGCAAAATATTATCGCAAAGTATTAAAAATCTTGCACTTAATGCAAGTAAGTCAATAATGTACAAATTAAATAAAAGTGGGCCTAGATTAGAGCCCTGGGGTACTCTAAAGCTGACAGTAGAAGAACAGAACAGAATTATTTAAATATTTCTCCGAATTTTTATTGCTTAAAAAAGGCCCTCATTCCATTCACAGGTTTATCTTTTATTTTACTTGTTGGTAATTTAAATACGAAAATAGCCTTTTGTAAAGTTATTTAGCCAATTTATTAATTTATTCATTACATTACATTGTAAATGGTTTACAATGTACCTATGTGTATGTTCGCTTCTGGGGTAATTGTTGATGTTAAGTTGCTTGTGTAGCCTCCTATTGACAAAATTTTTAAACATTCTGGTAAAATATAAAGAACCTTTAGAGAAGACAACAAATAAACTGACTAGTTTTGATATAGGCGAACTAGTTAAGTAATACGTAGGATTAAAACTCATTAAACTATAAAATGGTTTGTTTAGCTTAAATTTGCTGAATAAACAACTTTATAAGGTCATAATATGAAAAGTCAACGCATTACAAAATAAAGATTTACTTTATTTGATGGTAATTACAATGAAACCAGCTAATCTTTCGCATTTCACATTTCCGAAAAGCTTCAAAAACTGGTCTACCTTTGGTCTTCAAAATTTTTACTGCGAAGAGAGCGCCAGCAGCCGGTTGCTGCTTTTTCTGCTCATCTGTCAAAGTGTATTTGAAAGTGGTGACGAAAAGAATGTCCAAATTTGGTCCTCCAAACATCGTATCGGTCACGTATTGAGCTGGAATGGCTATTTTGTTCAGTAGTTGGCCTGTTGTTGGGTTAACTTTTATGACAGATCCCCCACCAAATAGAGCTATCCAGAGGTTGTCTTCAATGTCTATGGTCATGCCATCTGGCTTACCAGATAATTGCTTATGGTCTTCTAGGTCGAACACTACCTTTTGATTGGATATTTCCCCTTTTTCTAGGTTAAAATCATAGGCGAATATTTTTCGTGCAGGGAAATTTATGTAGTAGAATTTATCATTTGCTTTGTTCCACGCTAGACCGTTGCTCACATTTACAGGCGATATCACAACGTCTGGCTTGTTCAAATTTTGGCTTGTTATCTTGTAGAGCGCACCCTGGTTTTGTATGTCAGGAGTTAGGCCCATTGTACCCCACCATAATCTACCATTTTTATCAGTTTTACCATCGTTGAAATGGCTATCTGGAAACCGATCAGATACTTGTGTCAAGACAGTTTTTTTACTCATATTATTTTTTCCATCCCATTCCACTGCCACTATAGATCTAAATATAAGTGTTTTTAGTTCAATTGTACAATTTTGTAAATTAAAAAAAGTTACCTGTTAAACCCGACCAATAAAACGTCCTTATTTTTTGTTTGTACCACCGGTCCTATACTTCCAGAACCAAGTGTTATAGAATGTACCTTACCGGTGTCATAATTGTAGCTCAAAACCCGTCCTGTATGTACGTCTACGTAATACAACATGTCCCTTCTACCGTCCCATGACGGTGTTTCGGAATGATCTATAGGTTCTGTTATTTGCGTTACGGTAGGGGCGTCTCCAAAATCGCACGAATAACTTCAAAAAATAAATTTTAAGTCAAGAAACTTTTTTGACCCATTACTGGTTATATTCATAAGAAAGAATTGAATGTATCTGTGATACAATTTGCCGAGTGCATTCTTGGTTGCATAGTGTGTACCGATTGCGGCAAAGGCCAGTCGTTAGACGTGATGTTCTTACATCTCGCCTCTGTTGGCTTACCAACGCAGTATATAAGCTATGGCAGTCCTTTGTTTTGGGTGTGTTCCACACTGATGAGACCCAATACAGCTGTCGGCATTTGAAGTTGATGGAACGCACTCAAAACGAAAAACTTTGTCGAGGTGTAGGTTCAATTCTTTCTTATAAATTTTGTTGAGATTTTATTTACTTACTTGGGGTTATGATCTCCTCTGGCAAACGTGCTATTTGCAACCCAAAATACTAATATTAGGATGCACAACATTTTATTGTATTTACTTGAAGGTTTGGTGTGAAAAAATACCAGTTATTAGTTTAAGTACCTAGCTCATTTAAATAAATTATTTTCTGATAAACACCTAATTAAAGGCGTGGATAGTAAACAAATACAAAGTGCTTAAAGTACTTTTTGACAACGATAGCACTTCAGGAGCGAAGTGTAACTAAATATAACTGCTAAATCTGCCATATTTATACTAAGGTTGACTGAACATCCTTAAGATGTTGTCAAATCCTATTCTATGATATGTTCTCTTGTTTTAAAATATAAAATTTTCAGGCACAATGATCCCCAAGTCTGGAGGAGACTACGCTTACATAAGCGAAGCGTTCGGGCCTCTTCCAGCCTTCCTCTTTCTCTGGGTGGCCCTGTTCATCCTGGTACCAACAGGGAACGCTATAACGGCCATAACCTTCGCGCAAAACATTCTTTCGCCCATATGGGGTTCGAACTGCGAGGTACCGGTCGCGGCCGTTGTTTTGCTAGCGGCAGCAACCACCTGTCTGCTGACGATAATAAACTGCTACAACGTCAAGTTGGTGACGAGGGTGCAGGACTTCTTCGCCGTCACCAAATTGTTCGCCGTGGTGATCATAGTCCTGGCGGGGGTTTACTATTTGTGCGTCGGGCATGTGGAGCATTTCGTCAAGCCCATGGAAGGGACCTACTGGAAACCCGGCAACATCGCTTTGGCGTTCTATTCCGGGTTGTTCTCCTATTCCGGGTGGAATTATTTGAACTTTGTGACGGAGGAATTGAAAGATCCTTACAAGTAAGTATACTTAACTCTAGAGGGACGTCTTTAGGTATTATAACTTTATGTAGGAACCTTCCCAAAGCCATCTGTATATCGATGCCGATAGTGACGGTCGTGTATGTCGTCACGAACATCGCCTACTTCGTTGTGCTCAGCAAAAATGAGATCCTGGAGTCGCCAGCCGTAGCGGTCACTTTTGGAGACAAAGTCCTCGGTTCTTTCTCGTTCGTGATGCCTTTCTTCGTTGCTTGCGCTACGTTTGGGTCTTTAAACGGTGCTATATTCGCCTCGTCTAGGCTGTTCTTTGTAGGGGCTAGATCTGGACATCTACCAAGGGCTATAGCGTTGATAGACGTCAAGAGGTTGACTCCAGTGCCGTCTTTAGTTTTCATGGTAAGATTTCTGCACATGGATAGTACCCCTAGTAGCAATTTTGGAAAAGCCTTGTCCAAGCATGGGTCAAGATACTTGGAACAGATTGTTGATCAAGAATTATACAAGAATTGGTCCAGATTCTTGATCAAGATCATTGGGCAAGACTGTGGCCAGAATTTGTCAAGAATTTGACCAGAAGTCTGAGGCCATCTGTTACTAAACTTAGGGACTATTCTATAGAGTAGAGGTTCTCATTTTACAGTAGTTTCATTCACAATTCACAATTGTCGTCTTTTCAGTTTCTCGCGTAAGTCTATCTCAAGACTCTGGGCCAAGAATCTGGTCAAATTCTGGTCAAAGACTCGCCCAAGTCTGGATAAAGAATCTTGGTCAAGTGTCTTGATCAAGAATTGTCAAATTGTGTATAAAGTGCTTCTCCAAGTATCTTGCTGGAGAATCTTGTCCCATTCCATTGCTACTAGGGACGCTGTCGAACGGTGGTTTCTATTTATATGGTTTCAGTGCCTGATCACGTTGGTGCTGATATGCGTGAAGGACATCGACGTGCTGATCATACTGGTGTCCTTCGCCGAGGCCCTCTTCATACTGATCAGCATTTGCGGGCTTCTTTACATGCGGAAGACCAAGGCCCACTTGAATCGCCCCATAAAGGTGAACCTGGTGTTCCCCGTCATATTTCTGGTGAACTGCACATTTCTCATTTGTTGCTCCTGGGTGGACAAACCCGTGGTGATAGCTTCAGGGGTGGGGCTCATTTTACTCGGCATTCCCGTGTACTTCGTGACCATACACTGGAAGAACAAACCCGATTGGATGCTGAGGAGCTTCAACTCCTTCAACAACGGCTGTTCCAAACTTTTTATGTGCGTGGTGGCGGAGGACGAAAGTTTTTACCAATAACACAAACAATAAGTATTTGTGATAAAGTGACTGTGAATAGAACGGCAACTATTCAGTATTATATTTATGACGATATTTTTGTATTGTTCGTATGCTATTGTATGGTACTTTTTAAGAACAGCCAAAGATGTTTAAGTTCCAAACATTACACAAAAGACATGTATTTATTTATTTATGTTATAGGTAGAAGTTCTTTGTTTAATTTAAGGTACCAAGTATCAATGTTATGAAATTAAGGTATAAGTATCTTTTTTGTATAACAAAATTCAGTTAGTGGGGTAAATAATGATAATATGAAAAAATATAAAACATGACAAATTGTTGTAGAAAACTTTTTTACACCATATTACCATGTTTTACTTCACGAACGACTAGCTTAGGTTTAGCACATTCCGAATTATTTTTTTTTTGTAATTCCAAACGTCTATGACAATAAATAACATTTCTACATTATTTAAATCGTTTTTATGTAAGAAAGTACCATTCAAACCGTTGGTCAAAAAACATTCTGTTTTAATCAGGTTGTTTCAAGCCACTATATTACCCATAAGAAGTTTTTATTGTGCAACTCAAAATGCTTTCTTATTTTTGTTATGTAAGAACATTTGGAACATTTTACTTCATTATTTTGTGCCCTGGAAAGTCAGACTAATATCAAGATTTGGGAGTCTTCTATCTTTTAGCGGAAAAGTTGTTTCTCCTTACCTTGGGGTACTTCTTTTGGTTCTAATTTACGAAATATTCCCAAAAACAAAGTCGCTTTTGTAAACTGTAAAAATTATCATTAAAAATTTGGTTTGCAAATAAAACCTTGCTACAAATTAAATTTGCATTCATTAAAAACCCAATAACAAAAACAAAACAACTTATAATCCTAAATTAAACAAATTTAATATTAGAGTAAAAAACTAAATACGCCGGATAAAAATATTGTATTGGTACATAGGGGTCAAATCAGGGCTGCGTGGAGGCCATTTTATACCGCATCTTGCGTCATGATTGAACCCTACTAAGGGACCTTTTCCTCACCGTCCTAAAAGAACACGTCGAAGAATAAAAGAACAACTTGTAGAGACAAAATATTTAAAACGTTTATTTTAAACAATTACATTAATAATCTTGAATTAGGTTACTACAAAATTTACTTTAAATTTAAATTATAGTCTACAAAATTAAAATTAAATATATTTTTTTAAATACAATATAAGTATTTGTATTAGTTTTGATTCTTTTATAATGTGTTGTGTATAATGGGTTGCCTATAAAATATCCTTGAGAGAGAAAATATTTTTTATTTGGTAACACTGCTTTAATTCTAAAAGTGCATTTATAGAGCCTATTTTTACATGTTTTTATAATAAAATTATATTAAATCCTATTAATATGGAACACCAGCACTATTCTAAAACAGTTAATAAAATCAAAAGTTCTCCAATGGAGACTCTCCATGGCCTATCCTTATTTGGGTCCACTGCCTAGTAATTTGCTTAGGTACGCTTGACCATTCTTTATGCACTTGGCAACACTGCTACCGGATACCGAAACGTGACATTTTTTATTCATGTGTCTTTCGTATACTCTTAAATTTGTCGTGACAAACTTACAATCTGCACAATTATACACTTTAAATTGACATGCATTCATATGTTTTTCGTATATTTTTAAACTCGTTGTGACAAGAGTACAATTCGTGCATTCGTATTTTTTTTGCGGTTTTGTTTCTGAGACAGAAGTTCATATGTTTCTTGTATCGTGCCAATTTCATAGTGGCATAGTTACAATTCGCGCACTCGTGTGTTTTATAAGTAAGGGATAATTTTTTCTCGACGTCATTTTGTTTTTTGTGCTTACTAAGCACATGCCCTTGCAATTCCAATAGGCATGGAGACGATTTAATTATTTTTTCACAATACGGACATTTTATATTATTCAAATACTTTTTACCAGTCAATATTTTGTGAGTGAACACAACCTTCTTTTCAATGTCATTGAGTTCCCTATGTTTTCTAAACACATGCACTTGCAATGCCAAGTCTGACCTAGCTTTAAACTTGCAATATGGACAATGGATTAATTTCTTTTGTTTTTCATTATCCATGCTATGGGATACTTCTTCTGATTCGATGAGAAATTTCCTAAAACAAGGTCTATTTTAGTTTTTTAAGTGTACAACTTTATTTATAGGGGAGCCAGCCATATCAGGTCAAAACTTTTGGGAATGTTTGGGAATGGAAAAACGGTGAAAAATTTTTGATGTTTATTTGGGCAAATATTTAGAAAAATCCAGAATACCTCAGTTAGTATGTATTTTATAAATTCGAATAAAAATAGGTAGATTTTGTCTAAAACATTTTTTCATATTTATAATAGATGGCGCTGTAATGAAAAAAATCATTTTTGTTCGATTTTTCTTCTGTATACGATTCTCCAATAATTTTTGAATAAAATACTTGGTTTTATTTTTTAAATTTATTCATTTTATAAATTTTAATTAAAGTAGGTGCATTTCGTTTTAATATTCTGCTAACACTGCTCTGGGATATTCCCAAATCTCTAGATAAATCTCGTGTGCTTGCATGAGGATTAGCGGCCGTTGCTGCTAATACATTATTTTCATTATTTCCACCTGTGAACTCTTTTCTTCGGTTGAACACTCCCGTTTGTAGTAAACTGCTTGACTGCGGTGAAATAAAGTACGCGATCGATTTTTTTCCGGAAAACGCTAGATATTAACAGCATCATCAAGATTTCTGCCTGCTTCTCCATAAATCAAAATCATTTCTATTTTTTCTTCCACTGTTAAAAAATCCATTATGAATAACTGCTTAACGAAAGGAGGTCTTTTTGTTTGCAAATTAATCTTCGAAATAAATTGATTAAATAATGCCAAACTATAGTTTCTTCATGCCTCAATAATAATTATTATTTATAACTAAATACCTCAATTAGGATTAAATTAATTAATTGGCAAAATAATGTTTTTCTACCTTAAATGAGGTATTTTTATTAAAAATAGTAGAATAAATAATCCTTTAAATTAAAAGATGCGCAATTGATAATTATCACCGAATGAAATAATGAAAAAAAAAATTTCCTAAGAATTTTTTTTTTCAGGCACTACATTTTTTTTTTGGTAAACAATATCTTAATGTATGGTAATTTACGAATACAAGGACATTAAAAAAAACGCAAAATTCACAAAATACATTTATTTTTTAGGGTTTCACACGTTTAACCTTGAACAAACCATCAAGATCTTTTGGGACAGGTTGAGCGTCTACTTCCTTACAACCTTTCTGATGTTTTACAACGTTCAAAAGACTTCTTGTTTTGTACGGACATTGTGTGCATCTGTACTGCCTTCTTTTGGGTTCTTTTAATTTTGTATCGGGCTTTGGAGCGACAGGGGACTGTAACAATTTGGACGTTTCTTTATGGCATCGTAAAATATGTTCCACCAATAATTTTTTTTGCAATGTTCTGAACAAACAGTTCTGGCATTTTAGGAAGTTGAATTTTATTTTTTTCTCAACGTCATTTTGCTCCCAATGCTCGTTCAAGACGTGGTTTTGTAAATTTAAAGTTGTCTCGCTACGAAAACTTTCGCAGTATGGACACTGGTGGTTGGATTTCGATTGGTTAATCAATTCGACCATTTCAGCGGAGTAATTCTTTACTTTATGAAGTGTCTCGCAATGTCGACTCAAATTGAAAGCTTTCTTGCACGAAAAATTGCAGTACCCGCAATGATGCTTCTTTTGCTGTTTTATTTGAACTTTTTTGGGGTCACATTCGTGCCGGGTATCCGACTTAACCCCGACATGATCGCATTTTTCGCAGGAAAATAACTCGTTTTTAAAAAAATATCTTTTTTCCACGTCGTTCTGTCTTTTATGCCGTCTATAGACGTGTATGTCGAAGTTGTTTTGCGAGAAACAGATTAACTCGCAGAAGGAGCATTTGAAGGTCAAATTTTCGCACGACAAATTGTGGGCGTGGAACTTATTGAATGAACTCGTGCTAAATTTACAGTGCACGCAGTAGTAGGTTATTGCATTTTTTTTGGTGTCTTTAGGAGAATTATCCATACTTCTTTTACATTTCTCACTTGTTTTTGCATGCTTCAGAGATTGTTTCCATGTGCCGCTGTAGTCACATTCCTCGCACTGGAAACGTGCGTTACTCGTATATACATATCTGAAACGAAAACGTCTTTTAATTTTTTATCATTTGCTTTGCTCAAAAAAAGGACTTTGAAACAAAAATTGGAAACTAAATAAATTTAGCTTTAAAAAAGCTGTAAGCAGAATTTAAAAATGCTGATTCACCATGGTAAAACACTAATAAATTTGCACAGTACACTACATAGAAAAAAGTCAATAAAATGGCGATTTAAATAGCAATTAAAAATGCTGATTAGCAATGGTAAGACATTACAAACTTTATTACAACGTTTCGTATAAAAGTTATGTAAAATGGCATAGAACAGTGCAGCATTAAAATTTGCTGATTCGCCATGTTAACACACCAATTAACTTGCACAGAGGAAAAAAGTCAAGTATAACCAGATAAAATTTATCTTTAAAAATGCTGTTTAAACTGCTGATTCACAATCTTTATAAAATGGCGACGTGTAGCACCAAAAATGCTTTTTAAAAGTATTGTTGCAAGTTATGTAAAATGGTGTAAAATTTAAAATGCTGATTTCCTTATTTTTGCAATTTTGCTCCAATAAAAAATCGACAGGACATTCATTGATGCTGATTCGCCATGGTAACACACTAAAAAACTTTCACAGGGGAAAAAAGTCAATCATTCTTATAAAATGGCGACGTGTAGCATCAAATATGCTTTTTAAAAGCATTTTTGCAAAGTTATGTAAAATGGCATGGAATTAAAAATGCTGATTTGGATATTTTGCAATTTTACTACAATAAAAAATCGACAATAAAGCATTTAAAGCATTAAATCAGCATTTAAAAAGTTTTAAGGAGCATTTAAAAATGCTGATTCACCATGGTAACACACTAATAAACACAGTACACTACAAGGGGAAAAATTAATAATTACGAGATAAAATTTAGCATTAAAAATGCTGTTTAAAATGCTGATTCGCAGCGAGAAAATACTTTTAAAAGCAAATAAAAATGCTGATTAACAATGGTAACATATTTATAAACTTAACTCTATTACAAACATTATTGCAAAGTTATGTAAAACAGCTATTTGCGTATTTTTGCAATGTTACTACAATAAAAATCGACAATAGTCTATTATAGAGCATTGAAGGCATTTATTAATGCTGATTCGCATTGGTAATACATAATACTTAATTAAGCATTAAAAAATGTTTAAGGAGCATTTAAAAATGCTGATTCACCTTGGTAACACACTAATAAACTTGCATCTTATATTCTTGAATTGGGCTGCTACAAAATTTACCTTAAAATTAAATTATAGTCAACAAAATTACCATTAAATATATTTTTTCAAATACAATTAGTTTTGAGTCATTTGGCAACACTGCTTTAATTCTAAAAGTGTTTGTCAAAAGATGTGTAAAAATTGCATCTTTAAATTTGAATGAATTTTAAACAATTATAACGAAGTGACCAAATACTTTTAAACAATACATAATTCTAAATTAAACAATGTATTTATAGAGCCTATTTTTACATGTTTTTATAATAAAATTATATTAAATCCTATTAATATGGAACACCAGCACTTTTCTAAAACAGTTAATCAAATCAAAAGTTCTCCAATGGAGACTCTCCATGACCTATCCTTATTTGGGTCCACTGCCCAGTAATTTGCTTAGATACTCTTGGCCATACTTTATGCACTTGGCAACACTGCTACCGGATACCAAAACGTGACGTTTTTTATTCATATGTCTTTCATATACTTTTAAATTTGTCGTGACAAACTTACAATCTGCACAATTATACACTTTAAATTGACATGCACTCATATGTTTTTCGTATATTTTTAAACTCGTTGTGACAAGAGTACAATTCGTGCATTCGTATTTTTTTGCGGTTTTGTTTCTGAGACAGAAGTTCATATGTTTCTTGTATCGTGCTAATTTCATAGTGGCATACTCACAATTCGTGCACTCGTGTGTTTTATAAGTAAGGGATAATTTTTTCTCAACGTCATTTTGTTTTTTGTGTTTACTAAGCACATGCCCCTGCAATTCCAATAGGCATTGTGCCGATTTAATTATTTTTTCACAATACGGACATTTTATATTATTCAAATACTTTTTGCCAGTTAATATTTTGTGAGTGAACACAACCTTCTTTTCAATGTCATTGAGTTCCCTATGTTTTCTAAGCACATGCACTTGCAATGCCAAGTCTGACCTAGCTTTAAACTTACAATATGGACAATAGATATATATTAATTTCTTTTGTTTCTCATTATCCATGCTTTGGGATACTTCTTCTGATTCGGTGAGAGATTTCCTAAAACAAAGTCTATTTTAGTTTTTGAAGTGTACAACTTTATTTATAGGAGAGCCATAATATGATATTGTCAGGTCAAAACTTTTGGGAATGTTTGGGCATGGAAAAACGATAAACAAAATACAAATACAGTCACCGAAAACAATTAAAAAATTTGTTTTCAAATTTTTTTATAAAAAAAAATATTTTTTTTTTATAAAGAATCCTAAGAAAAGTTTTTTAATTTGTTTTGTTTTGATTTCTGGCACGTTGCTTGGCATTGTTCAAGGCCACGTCAAAGGACCTCTGAAACTATAATAACAAAATAAAATTTAGCTTTAAAAATGCTATTTAAAATGCTGATTCGCAGCGAAAAAATAATTATAAAATGGCGACGTGCTTTTAAAGAGCAAATAAAAATGCTGATTCACCATGGTAACACACTAATAAACACACTACACTACAAGGGGGAAAAAATTATAATTACGAGATAAAATTTAGCTTTAAAAATGCTGAATCGAAGCGAGAAAATACTTCTTAAAAACAAATAAAAATGCTGATTAACAATGGTAACATATTTATAAACTTAACTCTATTAAAAACATTATTGCAAAAGTTGTGTAAAATGGCACAAAATTTAAAATGCTGATTTGCGTATTTTAGCAATTTTACTACAATAAAAATCGACAATGGAGCATTTAAGGCATTCATTAATGCTGATTCGCATTGGTAATACATAATACTTAATTAAGCATTAAAAAAGATTTAAGGAGCATTTAAAAATGCTGATTCACCATGGTAACACACTAATAAACTTGCACAGTACACTACAAGGGAAAAAGTAAATCATTACAAAATTTAGCTTTAAAAATGCTATTTAAAATGCTGATTCGCAGCGAGAAAATACCTATAAAATGGCGACGAGCTTTTTAAAAGCAAATAAAAATGCTGATTAACAATGGTAACACATTAATAAACTCTAACTACTCTATTACAAACATTATTGTAAAGTTATGTAAAATGGCATAGGGTTTAAAATGCTGATTTGCATATTTATGCAGTGGCGCATTTAAAGCCATCATTAATGCTGATTCACCATGGTAACACACTAATAAACTTAGCACAGTACACTACAAGCAAATGCTGATTCGCAGAAAGAAAGTACATGGTTTTTAACAGCAATTAAAAATGCTGATTACAATCATTATTGCAAAGTTATGAAAAATGCTAAATAGCATACTTTTTGCACTTTTACTCCAATTAAAAATAGACAATGGAGCATTAAGAGCATTAATGCTGATTCACATTGGTAACACAATAATACTTGCACATTATTAGAAACAATTTTCGTTGAAAAATTATGTACGTAAAAAACAGAAGCAAAATGCTGATTCACAATTTAATTTAATAATGAAAATACTACATATTTTAATACTACCATTAAAGAAATATACGAAAATGGGTAAAAAAAGTCATGGAAAATTGCATTTATAAATAAATAAATAAATAAAGGTCTTAATTTTGAATCAGCATGTTAAATATTATTATATATATACATATATAAATATTACTTTGAAAACATTAAACATGCTGATTCAAAATTAAGACCTTTATATACAAAAAATAAATAAATAGGTATATTATATTATTTTCAAAAAATAACTCACAACTTTTGTACCTACTTATCTATAAATTTCTTTTAAAAATACCTACCTCGTTTTCTTTTCAAATACCACTTACCCTTGGCACTACATTTCTAGAAATATACATATTCACTATCCAATTAAAGAAAATTAAAAATAATTCTCAAAAAGAATATTAAATTTATAAAAACATTAAAAGACTGAAATCTCACAATGTCCATGTCCTCTGGTAGAAGGAAATTATCATTTAAGCTTGTTTATATTTCATAACAAGATTTCAGACAGCATTTAGTACTTTCCTTCGTAGTGCCCAAAGTACAAATTCTCTATTTAGGTAATAGTTTTTTCGATGAGTAGAACTACAAGTGGTTATTAATTTTTGTAGGTGCCTCCTTGTCCTCCATAAAATCATCCAGCATATCAAACTCCTCCACATAATACACACACAAAAGTTACAGAGCTGAATTTTATGTTTTTTGATAAATACCTCACAAATTGTTTAACCACGTCACATGGATTTAAAACGTTTGGCACTAATAGTGTTCTGTGACTAAAACAACACAAAAGTTACAAAAAACACCGATAAACGAAGATATTGTAAATGTTAGGTTATATTTTGATCTTTAAATTTTGCATAATAACCTTTGTTGGTAGCACTGAAATGAATTGCCACCAGAGCAAGAAGACTAAATAAAGGGGAAGTAACTCGACCCAAGAAGAATATACAAAGAAGTAACTCTCGACCGGAAAAATTCAAATTTCATGACGATTACTCTTAATGAAGAGAATATACATATACATATAATTTATATAAAATATTGGTGATACCATGTAACTGTTGAGTTAAGGAGTCAAACCTTATTGAATGATATAACCATGCCATGTCACTGCATCTCGCCGCTGTTAACGGCTGTTCGGGTGATATAAGGGAGAGGCTGGGCTGGAAAAAGCATACTTACCTGGCGTAGAGGTCAACCTTGATCAATAAGGCGGTTCCTCCGAGGCGAGGCCTGTCCATTGCACTACGGTCGGGCTGACCCTTGCGATTATCCCTAATGCGGATAACTCGGGCGCATAATTTTTGGTAGTCGGGACTGCGTACGCGC